CCGCATCATCTTACGGCTCGAATTTGTAGTCCACTAAAAAAAAATAAACAAATACAAAAACCTAGAGCTGCTAATCTAACCGCCCCGAAACGCTTTATAGACTAAATTTAAATAGTAGAACATTTTTTTTTGTCTCCTGCTGCAGAAATATTAGAACGAATAAAAAGTTGTAAGCCCTCCATGCTCTATTGAACTCTACCAAAGAAAAGGTGAAACAAATAAATAGAAGAAAAAAAATGGCGAAGAACTACAGCCAAGTTAAATTTCAGATCGGCCATTTCATAAGTTTCTTATTCTAGTCACCTCTTTAATAATGGAGGAGTAAAAGAAAAGGAGGTTCTCAGGCAATATGGGCAGCGATGATGAGGATGAGGAGGAGGAAATTGGCCCCAATGCAATTAATTTTCATTGGTGCCAAAGGTGAAATACAACCCTGCGCAAGTTCGAACTATCAGTTTTCTTTATTCAACCAACAGTAAGCACCGCAGCCCGTGTATCCAACTATAATCATGTTTCCTTTTTTTTTTTCAACATCATTAACTATAAAAAATCATTCTCACCAACCTTGCAGTAATGCAGTTTAATTCCTGTTTTAAGAACCAGGTTGATTTTATTTCATACAATCCACTACTTTAAAAAAAAATGTTTTCTTGAGTGCCAGCCCGTTAAGTTGCTGGTATTCATTCCTAAACACTACACATTTTGCCTTTTATTTCACTCTGATTCTGCACTTTTTGCTTAATATTTAGTATTTAAAGTTTATTTATTTGTACCTTTTATCGATTTACAATATGTTATTTTGTTAATGGATAGATCTAATATGTTTCAGAGCTGCAATGCACAAAAGTGAAGTTTTAAATACTTAAGCATACATTTTAATGGAAATTATTAATTTATGATAAGCATAATTGAAGAAGACAGGTAAAAAAGGGTCCGTAAAGACAATAAATAAAATAAAAAGGAACGCTTATTTTAACTATATCAAAGATTAAATAAACATTAAGTTGATTCAGTATAATGGTATATTTTAAGTAATTGGTTACCCCGGGGATAGCAGCAAGAAAAAAAACTTAACATGAAATATTATCATAAATGGTTTATGAGGTACCTCATAAAAATATTTAGATGTTGAAGTTTAGCGGCACTTATTAAAATTACTTTCCTTCTTGCTCCTTAAAAGTGGCGACGTTTGTTTTAAAGTATACAAAATGATGAACTAATTTAAGCATTTCATCCGTTTTATTAAGACACAAAATGAAGAAATATTAGTTTCAAAAGTTTGAAATACTTAAGTATAAATTTTAATTAGGAAAATAACGTTTTCTTTTATAGCAATTTAATGACTTGAAGTAATATAATCAGAAATCTGCATTATACATCAGGGCTTCACAACCATAATTTTTATAATTATGCAAGCCATTTTAACTATTGAAAATTAAATAAAAAAAAATATTTAGCGTGCTTGTGAAATATATTCTACAATCTTTTTCTTATTTAAATAATAATATTTACCATTATCCTCTCAATTAAAACTATTAACTTTTAATTTTCACTTACCTATATATTAAATATATAGTAGTTTTTTTTTCTTAGCCCCAATGTTTAGTTATTCATATTTCATAATTTAACTTTTGGAATAGGATTTCTTGTACTCCATAGAAGGTATGTATATACAGCAAGAAAGATTATTTAGATTTTAAGTAAGTTAATATTTATATTTTTTTTTTCCGATGTCTGTTTTGACTTCGACTTTTCAAGTCATGAGTCTTCTTCAACAGCTTGCTGCTGTTATAGGCGACAACAGTTATCGTTCTGTTCTCTCATCTTCGATATATCCAGGGAGTACGTAGTTTATTACCTGGAAGCGATCACATTTCAATCCCTCTTCATCATGAACTTTCCTGGAGGATAGTTGGCAATCTTTTGCTTCAATCTTCCACCTAGTTGCTTATGAATATATGGGGTAATCATTCCTATACCCAACTTCCAACCCAGATGACCAGGAGCTATGGTTTAAAAGCGAGAGGTCGCTCACCTCCCTGTGAATCTCGGGGAGGGGACGTTGCTAGGGCCTGCACTTAATTATTTTGATTTATTAAGATATATAATCATTGGATATATAAGCATCGCTAAATTTATCAACAGTAAAAGAATTTCTACTATAACAAAAAAAAATAATTTTTCGAAAAGTCTCAACAATTGGCAAACCCTCTTTTCAACAACTTATTACCAGGTAAAATTAAAAAAAACGTTGACAACAACTCACATAAGTTAGATGTTTTATTAATTTAGTTGTAAGCTCTAGAGGATAAGGTCAACTCAAGCATGAGGTGAGCCACATCATCGATTATATTACAGATGTAGAAAAAATACTCAGAAACGACAACAAATGCAAAATACGCTTTTCTATGCTTTTGAGCAGTAAAAGGATTATTATGAAGGCAGTGAAAATCCAAGGATTCAAGAGAAAGATAATTAAAAAGGGGGCTATGAAAAAAAATCTAGCTCGACCATCGTGACCCCCAAAACTTCCTCAGTTTATCAAGTCAATAAATTAATACAAATCATAAACTTCCGAAACACGATTTTATCAATCAGAATCATAATTTCTTGTAGTTTTGGTTGCTTTCTGAATTTTATAAGTTAAAACACACTAATGATGCTTCACCCGAAATACATCCTGCTCGGAAGGTGTCTCTAAAATAGAATAATAAGTTAAAAACTTATTTAGATAATTTATTGCAGGCATACATATTGATGTTTTTCGATGAGCCAAGCGATTGTGAAAATAGTCTTGCAATAGTTGAAAAGCCTGATTCCTTTTACATTTATTGACCCTCATCATTTAAATAGGCTTTTTGTTAGAGATTATTATGATACGTTTGAAAACAAAAAATATTCACTTCTGTATTTTTTATTTAAAATATGGATTTCATGATATTCGCCTTAAGGTGAAATCCAGGAAGCTTTGCTATTTTAATATTCCTTTTAATATTGTTTTGTATTTGAGAGCCCAATGGTGAGAATCAACTTATAAAAGCAGCGAAGAAGGTTGTTTCTGAATTCAATTTAAATAAAATACTGTTTTTCATAACCGAGGTTAAATATCTCACGGTTTTATTTAACAAAAGTCGCAACGAACCTGACCCAAAAAAAAATATATTAACCTAAGATTTCACTATTGAAACGAAACTTAAATTTAGATCTAGTTAAGCAGAGAGGCAAAATTTATAGGAAAATTGAATTTATGAGTTTGTGGATACGTAAATAAGCCAGTGCAGTACTAGCTAAGATATATTTATATATCTCGGGTAATTGTTAGTTGATAAGGTATATTTGACTAAGTAAATGCAAATAATGTGTACATTACCCAAAGAAAGAAATGTAGCCTAAAAACTCTTTGGCAAGAGAGGTCAATACCTCTTCGGTGGGTAACAATTAAAGAAGCTGATGTTTTTTATACAGGTGGGAAACACACCGTAGTTAATAATGTGTTTTATAGTTGGTGGCTATGTATTTGTTTTCTTGAATTAAAATGAAAAATATTGATGTAAACATTTTTACAAACGAGTTTTGTAAAATGGTGTATGTGAGTGAACTACCTAACTCAAAATAGAAATGTCTTATACACTGAAATTTCGGTTTTAAAGAAAGTATAAGACTCGGAGGTTTTATCAATTTTATCGCTAAAGTCAACTTATCTGAGGTGTTACATGTTATCTGTACTTTGGAATTTACAAATTTCACGATTATCTCGAAACCAATCCTAACGATTTTGATTAAACTCATTATTTTAATGTACAATTAACTGTTCTTCACTGCCATGTAGAAATTGCCAGATGTGGCGTAAATGCCGAATTGTCAAATTTTAAATTCTTGAGTATCTTTTACCCCAGACCGTGCGCGCTGGTTGATTTTGTCAACCATCTGAATTATTTCAGATGGACCAATTTCCAGACATTTTTTCTTTACTTACCATCATATCCATTCAAAAACACGAATTTATATGAAAAATTACATAACTACTTCCTCTAAATTTATCACAAATACTTTTTATTTTGTAAATATTTTTTAAACTAAGTTTGTCAAATAAATAATATATAAATAAACAATAATGTGCTTTATTTAAATAAATGTCTAAATTTGATAAAATTAAACTCTATTTTAAACAAATTTTTAGTAATTTTTATAATTTCTAAAGTTTTAACTAGCTGCTTTATAATGTATATATTGGAGTACTGGCACTGGCCAGATTCTTCACTCATGTCCTCAGCGTCTGTTGCTCTAGTGCCCTTCATCAGCCTCCACTGGCTTACTATACCAGTGACACGGCTGGGAGAGAAGCACTGGGATCTTCTGGAGTCCTGCTTTGGCTTCCACAGTTGGGGGACAAAGCTTGATTCGGAGTCCCCTGTGCCAATGTAAATATTGTACATAGGTGTGAATGTGTTTTATTTGTTTTGTTATTACTCGGCTGGTCTGTTTTTTTAGTTATCTTGTATATTACTTTATCTTTTTATTTATATATATATATATATATATATATATATATATATATATATACATTTTTTTTCCTTTCTTATGTACATATTGTGTGAATGAATACTATAGCACTAGTACCAATGCCCTTCAGTGTGGCAGACTGTATTAATACTCAGTAAAAGTTTAAAAAAAAAAAAAAAAAAGCTGCTTTATTACGCATAGTTCGTTCAATCTTTCACTTCACTGTTGTTGTTTTTTATCCCATCTATTTTTAACTCAATTTACTATATTCATTACAAACAATATATCAAAACTTCTGTAATTCACCTATTTTTTTTTATTTCTTTATTACTTTAGAGGTGCGTCCATAACGAGTTAAGTCATAACTGTTTCTAATTTGGGCATCCCTGACCATAACTGGTAATCAATAACTGATTAAACTTGGATAAAATTAAAATATTCAGGCATAAAAATGTAATATTTTCTAATTAAAACCTCATAATAAAAATTACAATTACTTATGGACAGTGGTGTTCATAACTAGCTGTGCCGCTTTTTCTGCAACTAGTATTAAACAAATTAATTTAATAAAATAAAAAATATGTAAACAAAAATAATTAACTATGAATACATAAAAAAAAAACTAAGTAGAATGTGTAAATACCTTAAAAATTGTAAAATAATTTATCTGTCTGGAGCAATACTCTTAAGAAATGAATTTCATGGAAAGGTTGATACTTAAAAATTGGTGTTTTTCCAACGATTCTGTTGACTTTTGAAACATTAATCACCATCCTGAGCTGAAGGCAAGGAGTAAAGAAAGGAGAGAAAGGGTGGTGGCTGGTGTATCAATGGGGCACAATAATCAGCAAAACTCTACTGTTTCAAGTTTACCTAGTCCTTATTGTTGGTAATATAAATTAAGGGTGTTCATAACTGGTAGAACTCCCATAACATTTACCCAATTAGGGTGGTAAATAGAAGATTTTTTTACTGTCGCTCAGTCACGGTCATAAAAGAAAAATAACAATCCCCACAGACTTTGAGTGATTAAAATTTAAAATGAGAAAGGAAAATAGATCCTGAGTACAAGTAAAAGTAAAAGAAGAAAAACGGAGCTCGGCCACTACTAACCGGGCTAATAGCGATCTCCAGGGGAGAGGTTCGGCTTCCTCAGGGTTTATTGACTATTGCCGCCGGGCGGACCTTAAAAGCTAACCAAGCCTCAAACAATGGGCTCAATTTCGGGGGTGCTCCAGAACTCTGCATTCACTCCCTGGACTCCATCACGCACACTCACTCCAGCGGCGTGATAGCCAGCATTAACAGTAATTGTTCCTAGATATTGCTCAGTTCTACGTTAAGTAGTAGTCATGCCTCGTTACAAATCATTTACTTCCTGCTCTTATACTTAGTCATATGACTACAATAGTTTTTTGTTTGTAAGTAATTATCGTAGTATGAAGTATACATACAAATTTAGATATTAAACAGAAATTCGTGTAAATGCTCGATTGCATAAATCAAATTTAAAAAAATGAAAACTAATCCCCACATATATTATTACAGTTTGGCTCTTAATTGGTTTTGAACCAAACATAAGCTCCTGTCATACTCAAATACCATGAATGTGGTACCGTTGGATTCAGAATTTCACGGGGGGTTAGCAAATTGTATTCTCCACCTTCTTTCTAAAATAAATAAAGTCGATACAAACATTTTGCTAGGCTTCAATACTGGAACGGTGGTAGGTCTGTAGATCGATACGAAACAAATTGGACCTGGAAGATTTTGATTCGTACAGCAAGACTCGGATAGTTCCTTTGTATTTTTAAGCCCCAAAACTTACTATTTTCGAGGTAACGCAAGGCATAGGGTTCGCGTCCACACAACCTTACGTTAATTGTAGTACTGTCATTGAATACATGTCTCGTTTCGTCGACTTGAGGCCTCTATGATCGAGAGAGGAGGAGTTTATGTTATTGATCGATGGTGTTTTTGATCGGCAAGCCATATCGTTGTTAATTCTTCACCAAATCTCAAGATTGAGCAACCAATTTCGAAGGCTGCCTTCTCCTTCAGGGGGGCAAAAAAGTCCGATCCCCCAAAAATTCAGGTAAACAAGTTATGAAAGAAAACAAACTTTATTTGCTAATAAATAAAAAAATTACGCACTTTTCGCTTGCTTATCCCCATGATTAAATAAAATATTACTCAATTCTCTGCAAAAGGAAAAAAAAAATCATCAAAATCAGACAATTTTTAGCAAAGATGCAGATTATTAAAATTTGTAAACATGTCGGTTCCAAACTTTAATGAAGATTTAAATTAATTTTTGTTTCCTTTGTCGATTATATTTATCGATAAAGTAATAATTTATTTCTTTATCTTTTGAAACGTTGCATCATTTTCTTTTCTTATTAATTTGGCATTTGATAACAATATGCTGTGTGAACTTTTCGCACAAGCCTATTATTTATAACTTTAGTAACTAACCAAAATTTCAGTAAAACATTTGCCATTAATAGAATATTTTTTTAGTAAGTATTTGCAGATGGTAATGTAGGCATCAGTAGTCTCCATCATAAACTAATTTATCAATCATCCAGTTTTTTTCCAAGCATATTCATGAATGGAGTATATACTCTAACCATTTAGGTAATGTTTATATTGGACCGTTGATAAATTAAATAACAGTTTTAAAAAAAACAAATACAATAAGACTAAAAAATATATAGACAAAACATACTTGTGTATAAGGATACCCAGCCTTGCAAACCAGTCCAGTACAATGAGAATAATTCCAAATTTTCTAGAGAAGGAGAGGAGTTGCCAACATTAAAATATTACACATTAAATAAATATAAAATCTAAAAAAATGCTTGACAATTATTAATTGTTATTATTTATATATATTTTTTCAATTTATTAATCAACAACAATTAATTTTACTGTTTCCGTTAAAAAATCATTATAAAATTATGTAACCATAAATCTTATTTTATAGATTTATGGAATAATCCAATTATCATTATTGAAGATGCCTGAATTTGAAAAAAAAAATTGGATGATTTTATAATAAATAAATTTATGACGGAGACTAGTGAAATCTAAATTACGATATTTACTTTTAACAAAGTTTCTTTCCCCTTATTTCCATAAGTAAATATTTATTTTATCATTTTGGAGCAACAATTTTATATAACTTAAATATTTGGAGCTATGGAGTTTAATATTGTACACATTAGATATCGACCTGATATATAAACTAGTCCAGTATATATTTAAAGTCAAGATTTATTTTCTACAACGATTTTGAAACTAGCTCAAAAACTCTTTCTGAGAACTGATAACAATCTGAAGTTAACAAACTTCATTATTATTTTTTGAAAAAGAAATTTGGACAACATTTACACCATAAATATCATATTCCTTTTATTATTTATTCAAAAATACTATTCTTAAAATAGTATAATTAATATGCATGGTGCCGCCAAGGTAATGAAATTTTTTGACTTTTTATTAGTAATTCATTAAATCAATCTGCGGACATACAATAGAAGTACTGGAATATGTGAGTAACTAGGTCATTATCGTTTTTTTATTTTATTGAGTTTCAGTATATCTTCCTAGTTTTACCTCGTTTAGTAAAGTTTTACCTGTTTTTATAAGTAATCTGTCGCTTCCCTAGAGGAAAGAAAAAAATAACATCGACGTTCAACTATGTATTGAATGAACACATCGATGGATGGAGGGTGCCTCATTGTGCCAGGACGACTGCTGAATCAGTGATGAGGCGTTACCTGTTGGCTAAGTAACTGAGGGGAAAATTAAATTTCATAAATTACAACCACTTCATAATAACCAAGGGAGGGTTGAAGGGGTTGGGGGGAGAGGAGGGGAGGTGCCTAACGCTGACGGCCTTCCAGAACAACGTCTATTGTCCTCGTCCATTAGCCAATAGATTTCTGGAATACATCAATAACGACTGAAATTAGGGCAGGTTTGCTGATTCATCGCTGTATATAAAAAATATATTACAGATTTGGGTTTTATTCTCATTATAGGCCACTTTTATAAAGTAAAGGACAGTTTCGACTTAAAAAAATAAAAGTAAATCATTTTCATATCAATAAACATACAATTACATAGTGAGTAGAGAGGCGCAATGCAAACTCCAGAAGTACGTTGCACACAGAAAAATAATTTGAAAAAAAAATTGATTTTTATCCAATTTATTACAAATATAAATAAATCCAGCTTCACTTACTACCTTACTTTGAAAATATTTATTTTTATTTATTGTACATAGAGTGTGAATGTGATCGCTGAACACTATTACAAATTTCTTTTGAGACAGATTGTATTATTTTTCAATAAGCGATTTAACAAAAAACTTTGAAAAGAAATTGATTTCTGCTCAAGCAGGTGTATTTAACTTTTGTAGTATGTATGTACCCCGGACGTAAAAGCACAGGTTCATTTTAGTATTTTTTCTGTGGAGACAATATTTCACAAATTTGAGCTATTAACATTTGTTTCTTAGTCACTAAATTATTTAATAAATAAAATGGGCATCCTTTACCTCCGGGACGCAGATTTAAATATACAACTATCGGATCTTTAGTTAATAACCCAAACTAAAGTTATTTAAGATTGCAAACATATTTTCTTCCTTTTGAATATTACCTAATTGAAATAATTAAGCAGTACTCAGTTATTTACAACTTCTATTAAAAAAAAAAAAACAATAAAATAGTTTTTAAACAACTGATTGTGATACCATTCGGTGTCATATATTTTTGTATGCCAATCTTTAAGTAAATTGTAAAAATTTCTACTTAGTTTTAAAATTGGAAATACTTATTTTCCGTTATACTGTGTAAAAATCCAAATTAATAATAATTATTTTTTCATCACTATCTACTTCCTTCTAAGATTTTATACTTATTAGAAATTTTTTTTTAAATTACAAATTCTTACACATAATAATTTATAATTGAATATTACTTATCTTATTTCTAAAATTCTGTTTTCAAACAGGAATAAACTGGAGTACTCTTTTCATAGTGTTAGTACTGCCGTCGATAAAAAATAATTTTTTTTTTTAATTTCTAAATGATATTTACAACTATATTAAAGAAATACATTTAGTAAATCTCAACATATGGGTACAATGACGTGAAAACACTTGTTGAGAGACTACCCTAGGTAGCTAAAGATATGTCTACAATAGGAGATTACGAGGCTATCTTCTTTCCAGATACCTTGGACGGTTATCAGGAATTGAAGAGGAAGCAATGTTGAAACGAGAGGGTTGGGATGATTCTGAAGTTTATTTTGGAAGGATAGGTATCTGGATTCGGCCAGATCTGAAAGATAAGAAACAATAATGTCATTATGATTGGTTTTATTTGTAACAATATAGGGAGCATTGAGGATTATACGAAGGATTTTGGATTGTAAGGATTGAATACGAGAGGAATTCGATAGTTTAGTGGTGCTAAATAGCTCAACTCCGTAAGTCCAAATAGGTCTTATTATAGTCATTATAGTCATGTATA